CCTGTTTTTTTCTACCACTAAATCTAAACTGCCTGCAACCATGTTGAGGACACAATTGAAATTCAGGAAAAGGTGGTTGAATTAATAAATAATCTATCAGATTTGTACATGCACATTTATATACATAAGCACATATGCATGTGTATGTGCAGATAAACTACCTGAAATCAAGTAATACCACAGAGGAAGAAAGATTGCTGAATCAGGTCCTAAATCATGAGTTGGCTGGAGCCTGGAAGATCCCACTCTAATGTTAGGCCAGGTCTAGGTCTCTGTCTTCATTTCTTCATGTTGACTAAACTGCTATTCATGAACTGTAGGTGCTCAGTAAATGTTAGTGGCACTGAACTGAACCTGTTTCTAGTCAGAACAAAGTTCAGCACGCTCACCTTTCATGTGATTTTCCTGGTCTGTGCTGGCCGAACTGTCCTAGCATTGCTACTGAACCTCCTTGGCCCCGTCTGCTTCTTCCCTAGGCTGACCCTGGGGTATTTAGAAGGCCTTTGCTTTTTTCAGAAGTGAAAGTGATATTGTCTGCACAGCCTTGCAAACTATAGCAGCACCCTCTCCCCTGGGACTGGTTTAGAGCAGTCTAGTATAATGTTATGTCCTTGCTACATAATCGCTCACACTGGTAGAGTTTGCTTCCTATCCACAGAGCATTATTTTGTCAACCTCGGGATTTCAGAATATGACCTTTTGCTCTTTAAGTGCCTGGAATAGTTGCTTGTGAGCTGTGATATGCAGTTGACTGGAATTAATGAGTTTCTTGTTATTTTCTAAGTAATTATCTCAACAAATATTTCTCGAGAATCTGCTTGGAGGAGGCAGTGAATCAGGCAAGTGGGACATTCATTAATGAGCGATGAAGCATTTGGGCCTCCTTTCAACAAGTTTATAGGTGTTTGAGGTATATGTGTGAGTGCGTGTGTGCGTGTGTGTGTATGTGTGTGTATGTGCATGTGTGTGTATGTGTATGTGTTTTACTAGGTAGGGAGGAGAAGATAGGGATTAAGAAAATATTTTCAAAAAACACAGAATAGGCCAAAATGTGATAACTGACAAATGAAAGGACTGACTTGGCAGTCTAAGAAGGTAGCATGAACGTTTGGGTGTGTTTATAGAGTTGGGGCTGTGGAGGAGGTCTTAAATCCTCTCTGAGGAGTGATGCCAAGGAAGAAATAAAAGAATTGTAAAAACTTAAGGGAGTAGAGCCATCTGGCACACACCGGATGGCAGCTAGCATAAGAAAATAATCCTGGGACTCATGAGTTCTACTGATAAGAAAATCCAGTCAGTGTGTCTTCCAGGTGCTCCCAGAAATGGGCCACAGCATTGGAGGCTGAGGCCTAGGGCTTGAGCTTAGACCTGCCGTGGGCTATCTGTATGATCTAGGATATGCCAGACAATCTCAATAGATGTCAGATTCTCAGTGGGAAATAAGCAGATGGTGCATGTTCGCCTTAAGTCTTTCACCAGCTAGAAGTCATGGTTCCTAAGCTTATATTTTTCTTCCACTTCTGGCCTTCCATATTCTGGTGGGAGTCTGGTCTTGGCCTGTCTGTAGTGTATTTATCTAAAGCAAGGGATGAATAACCAGGAAAAATGGAGGATGTGAAGAAGGGAATGTGGTGGAGCATAGAAATGAGATGATCTGACCTTTGCTTTTAACTAAATTTGAGGGATTTTCGTTCCTTTTTCAACAAAAGCAAATGAGGAGAAGTTGAGCTTGGTTCCTTTAGAGTGTTGTGTATGCTGTTTTGAATTAGGATTTCTTGGTGTGACTCTCCAGGAAGCTATTTACAGTCCAGTGGACTCAAGACTAACACTAATGCCTTTGCTCAGTTACTATAACTTAACTAAACAAATTTTATTTTCCTTTAATATCTATACCTACTAGAAAGTTAAACAATTTAGCACACATCTTTTTAGTTTGCTAAATTAAGCCTTTTCCCCCTCTTGTCTTACCAAGTGACTTTAAGACTTGTCTTAGTTACTTTTCTCATTGCTAAGACAAATTACCTGATACCCCAATTTAAAAGAGTAACGAACGGTTCCTTTAGCTCCCAGTGTGTAGAGGTTTCAGTCCACAATCAGCTGGCTCCAGGACAGGGTGGCATAGCAGACAGGTAATGCAGAAACGAAATGGTATGGGGCAAGAAGAAAGTAACAAAGCAGTCAACCACATCTTTTTCTATCCCTTATACCTTATCCAGACTCCTTAGGGTGGGTAGCACTCACACCCTTAATCCTAGAGCCCTTGATCGTGGCATTGCACTGTGAATCAGTCTCTGTCACACACTCTAGGTCCAGCCGCCTCTGAAAAAGCCATGCATATTGCTGCACGAAGCTTTGGTGGGACACCTAGAGACAAACCCTAATAAGACTCTATGCCATATGTCATAATACGCTGCCCCATAGGAAGTACTGCCATTAAGAACAGTGATATTTGTCTTCACAGACACTTACTATCAAAGGGAGGTAATCTACAAAAGAAAGTAATTATTCATTGTTCCATTAAGATCCTTCTAATTTTGTCTCCTGGAAGTGCCGGAGCTTTGTTTTCTGGTGCTCTGTGGCTGGTTTGTATATGCTAAATACTCTGGTAGGAAATAGCAAGGCCAGCTGCTCCCTTCCCAGCATCTGGTATGAAACCTTCTCTTCATTCCATCATAGTGTTAAAGGAGAATTTTAGAGCCTGGAGGAGCTTTATATTATATAGAAAATATCCTGTCTCTGGCATAGGGACAAAATGTCAATTTATCACTAATATCTGGCATCCTCTATCAAATGCAAACTTTAGCATATCACAGGAAAGACAGAGAGTTTGAGGCATCAGGGGACCAAGAACCACAAATGATTAACAGTTAATAAAGAATAGGAAAAAAATAAAGAGTAGGGGCTGGGGAGCTAGCTCAGTGGCCTTAGCACCTGCCTGGTAAATGCAAGGTCCTAAATTCAATCCCTAGTACAAAAAAAAGTGGCTTCCCCATAATAACTACAGGGCCTGAGGTAGAAGCATTTGGACAAGAGGTGGGCTTGGAAGAGGGTTTCCAGGAGAGATGGATTGTACATGATAAATTTAGAACATCTCTTTTCTGAGAGGCTTCCATTTCCAATCCACATCTCCACTGAGGAATACATTTACTCTATACTCTGCATGCATGATTAGTCAAGGGAAAAGAAAAATAAATTTACTCACAAAAATTAAGTTCACCATCAAAAGCATAAGCAACTTGAAAGCCAGGCAAATCAGAACTGAATGCAGATGTAATGGAAAAGCCAAAAAGAATGGGAAGTAACAACATTGGATCGTGCTGTGCTGGTGCAGATAAGATGCTATTACTTGGTATTGTCCAAAGTGGCAATATTCATAGGCAATTGAATAAATATACCACTGAGCAATTAAGCTACTGTTACCACTTTGGAGACTAGAGGTGTGGAGTGGGAATTTGGAGAACTGGAGAGAGAACTGGGAGAGAGCTACTCCAAAGCATATGGGCATGGATAGTCATGCAGATTGCTTGTTCTGATGCTCAGTGTCTAAGAAAAGAAGTAACAAGGACAACTAGGTCAATCCTGAATTGGAACTAACCCAATCTCATTTTCTAAATATATGCACAACCTAAAGAGGGATGTAAACCACTCTGAACATGTATTGGCAGTTCAGAGAGGGAGTTCCCCAGGCCCTTCACGCCTGAGTTCTTATAATCTTTTGTACTTGAAGAATAACACTGAAAATATAGAATAAAAAGCTCTCCTAGAAGTCACGCATGAATGGCTTGGAAGACTTCCTATTACTAAAACAGTTCCTGTAGTCACTTTCTTATCACTGTGACATAATGCCCAACACTTACAACTCAGAGGAGGACACTTTATTTTGGGGTCACATTAGGGTGGGACTGGAGCAAGCAGGCCTCAGAGAGGGCACTGCAGGGTGTTCCCTTGGGTCTGTCCCCAGTCACTCCGCTACCCATGTGCACCCATCTACTCTTTCCCCTCTTTAGGAGCCTGTGGTTTGCTTTGGTATCTTAATGAATTGAGCACAGGTGCTGGGAGGAGGCCTTGCAGGGCGCTACATGTGAGTTCCTGCCTGGGAGCTGAGCCTCCCGTGCTGCTCCAGCTGAACCGAGCTCCTCTCTTCATTTATTTATTCTCCTAATAAAAGCATAAGCTGTGTGTGGTATATGCTGAAGGGGGATGAGGCAGGGAGAAGTATCTGGCCACAGCATTCATCAGACATAAATCAGCAATTTTATTCTGGCTCATCGTTGACTGGCTCCTAGGCAGTACCACGGCGGCTGGGAGCGGTGGAGGCAAAGCTGCTCATGTCTTGGTGGCCAGGAAGCAGAGAGAAAAAGCAGAAGCCCAGAAGGAAGCCATTCCCTTCCCTAGTGACCACCTCTTTCCACAAGGCCCGACCTCCTAACACCTCCTAACACTCCCATCATTCAGTTTTCTTCCAAAATCCCCAACTATGTGTGCATGAGGCTCTTGGGGACATCAAGATACGAACCATAATGGTGGCATCACTTCACAAGTTTATCTACATGTTCAATGTAATTTATATCAAGATTCCAGTTACCTGTATTTTCCCCCAGAAGTTGGCAAGGTAATCCTAAAAGTCATGCGGAAATGCCTGGGGCCCAGCAGAGCCAAAACAGCCTTGAGAAGGAGCAAGTGGAGGATTTATTCTCTCAACTTCAGAGCTTTTACCAAAGGCAGAGTAATCAAGACTGTGGTTTGCTTCGAAAATCTAAGAAGCAAACTCAGACTTGTAAATTTGTTTTTGACAGAGGTGCTAAGACAAGAAACGTCTTTCAACACATGGTGTAACATAATTGAATATCCACATACAGAAGAATGAAATTGATGAATACTTGTATACAGCATATTATCCTTTGAGGTCACTAGTTTGACGCTTATTTTGGGGTATGCAATAAAATTTTTTATGCTGTGATTTTTTTTTCAGAAAAAAGCAAAAAACCTCCATTAACAAAATGAAGATCCAGTTAATTATATTTATCCTAATTCTTTGGACTGAAGCATGGGCAGATCAGAGCCCAGGTAAGAATATATCTTAAGCTTATTAATTTTTATGGCTTATCAAAATGTATTATAATACATAGAAATAATTTATTCACTAAAAATCTAAGTACACAGCATTTGTCACTAGTTGTAGTACACAGTATCAAACAAATTTAAAATGGTATAAAACCATGGACAAAAGTCATAAATTATACCGCATTAGAAAAAGTTGAATTGTTCATTGAATCACTTATGTTTCAGTGCTCCACTTTTCTATGAGTAGAATTACCCAGTTTGTAGGTCTGTCTGAATCTGAGCCTTGATGGGCAGAAGCAAAGGGACCCAGTCAGCAAACAAATTCTAAGTATTTTTGAGTCTAACAGTGCCTTTGTTTTCTTTTACAAACGTAAACGTGCAGTTTGGGCCTCCCTAATCTGAAGGTCCATAATCAGAAGTAATGCAAGGTCTGGAACGTTTGGAGCATTTCCACACCACCATAGACAATTCCACACTTAGACTTGAGTTGCATCCCTAAGTTATACTGCAGCTTTTATCTATTTCCCACTCACCTAAAATCTTTGTTCCAGACTCTGACTCCATTTTCTCAAACCAAGGCAGCTGCTTACTTTAGGAGGTCCCCAAAAGTTGGAACTTTTCAAAATGGTATCATGTTATTTATTTTTTAGTACATACAGTCTCAGAGTTTGGGGCTGCAGAAATGAAAAAGTTTTAAAAGATGTCAAATGCTTTGGGCTTAGAGTTGAGAAAGAAAAAAAATCTGTTGGTTAACTTTACTAAAGATCTCTTGGCTAACATTTTGGCAAAAACCAAGGGCAGCTTTTTTCCATTTGACCCTGTAAAGACACTTTCCTTGGGATTCTGATAGAAACTTCACACTAGGACAGACTAGAGAGACTGCCGCCCTCTTAAGGGTAAGGCTGAACACTAATCTTGTTTTTGTTCTTTTGTTTTTCTTTTGATAGGGCCAGGCCCTGAGTACGCGGATGTGGTGTTTCTGGTGGACAGCTCGGATCATCTGGGAACCAAGTACTTTCCGCTGGTGAAAACATTCCTCAACAGAATGATCAGCAGTCTCCCCATAGAGCCCACCAAGTACCGCGTGGCCCTGGCCCAGTACAGTGACGCGCTCCACAGCGAGTTCCACCTCAGTGCCTTCAGGAGCAGGAACCCCATGCTGAGCCACCTCAAGAAGAACTTCGCGTTCATCGGCGGGCCCCTGAAGCTAGGCAAGGCTCTTCGGGAGGCCCACAAGACCTATTTCTCTGCGCCCACAAACGGAAGGGACAAGAAGCAGTTTCCCCCCGTGTTGGTGGTCCTGGCTTCAGGCGAGTCTGAGGACGATGTGGAAGCGGCTGCGCAGGCCCTGCGGAAAGACGGAGTGAAAATCATCTCGGTGGGGCTGCAGGAGGCCTCCGAGGAGAGCCTGAAGGCCGTGGCCACGTCTCCGTTTCATTTCAACCTTCGGACGGCCAGAGACCTCAGCACGTTTTCCCAGAACATGACGCAGATCATCAAGGATGTAACCAAGTACAGGGAAGCACTCAGAGCTGATGCAAAAGGTAAGAAAGCCCTTGAGCGAAGAGCTGCCCGAGCCCGCACGGCCGCTGCATCTGTCCGCCTTCTCTGCTGTAGCTCTTATTTGGTTTTCATGATCAGCCTTAATGAAGTACTGGAACTTTCCCCACGTCCCTCATCCTCCTCCCTCTGCTTGTACTGTTTTCTCTCACAGGAACCCTCAAGCACTGCTTTGCCTTCTTACCGCTGAATAACTTCTCCACCATTTCATTCTCCATCCTCTACCCTTACCCTGTTGCAGTGCTTTCACCTTTTATTTATTTATTTATTTATTTGTGGTACAGGGTCTCACTACGCAGTTCAGACTCGTAGTGATCCTCCTGCTTTCAGCCTCCCCAGCAGCTGGGATTACAGGCGTGCGGCACCATGACCAGACTCCATCGCCGGTGGGGTGGGGCCAGCGTGGCATGTGGTCTCAGGAATCGAACCCCAGTCCCTGCGCTTGCCTAAGCAGGCTTAGTCCATTGAACTATCTCGCCAGCCCTCACGTTTCATTTTGGTCTCAGTGTTCTGTGCACACCTTATGACGGCACTTCGGCTGAGGCATTCGTGAGCTCACATGTACGTTTCCTGGTCAAAGAGAAGCTCAGTTGTCAGGTCATGTAGTGCGGGGGACCACAGGCTTGAGCCTGTGTTTGTTGTGCTGCTCACCCTCGCCAGTGCTAATTTCCCCCTAGAAAGGAAATCTCCCTCTTGAAGAAAAGGATCTACTAAAGCCGGCAGTTTGTTTCATTCTCCTGCTGACCATGTAATCATTTTATGCTGATTTTTTTTCACATTTTTAAGAAACACATTGCCATTTTTTTATAGTAAGATATTTTAGTAGTACTTTTCTATCTCTAAAGAGCTGCCACTAAATAATAGGAGAGTTAACTTTTGAGTTAGAGTATTAGAAATAGTCTTATAGGTAAGAATTACATAAATTAGAAGCAGTTTATATTTGACTCGGGATCGCCAGTCACTTTCTATAAGTCAAGGCCTTTATTATCTCATCTTGTGTACGAAATTCTCCCGACTTACTTTCCAACATCCCTGAGCATATGCACCTATAGGATGGTACAGCCCTTTCTTTAAGGTGTCACACTGGGCTGATGTCTGCCATGTGCAAAGCTACAAGCGCAGCTACATAACCAGCACTGTAGCTGGTTCCTATGTGGGAATTCTGGGCCCAGCCTAGAAAGCCATCTATGTTGCCCCTAAATTGCCACCAGACACTTTCCAGAGCTACCTGCCTTTTAGCTTCTAGGACATCTCAGTATTTCATGCAGAAAATAGATGAGCTTCTTCTCATCTATTTTTATTCTTGATCCCCTAGGCCAAAAGGAGTATTGCCTGGGGCCCCTTAATTCACATCTTTTCCCTTGAAAAATGCTTTGTGTCTTATATGAGTTTTCTATAAAATTTCAGAAGAAGTCTCTTGAGTACAAAACATTTACTAGGAGGAGGTCCTAGAAAGCAGCAGTGAGGAGGAAATGAAGCAAGAAGCTGCTTGTAGTCTTGATGAGCAAATACAACAGGGAGACACCAATAAGTGTGCTGTATGGATGAGGATCCGGTCTTTCTCTGGAGTAGGGCAGAAAGAATCCTCAGCACAATGAGCTTTTCTGGTTGCCTCTGAACCCAGCTGGTGATGGTGAGCCACTCAACACAGGTGCTAGCTAGCTCTAAGACCAAGAAGCTACCTGGTTTGCTATGTGACCAGAACTTCTAGTCAAAAGATTAGGCAATCTCATTGTTAATGAGTAGGTCTTTTAGAAATGGGTTGTCAAACAAACGTATTTATTCTAGGTCCTTCTTGCCTTGAACAAATAATTGAATGAGACATGCTAAAAATGGTGACAGAATTTATTAGAAAAGCGAGGGGTAAAAGGTAAGGGAAAAACTGACTGCACAGTATGTGGGCTGAACAAAAGAGGAAAAGAGAAAAAGAGCAAAAATAAAAGTACACCCTGGGCCTAGGGGACTCAGTGTGGGCTACCAGGGTCATGAGAGCAGGCTCCTCATTGTGTCTGTGTCCTTATATGCCATCCCCATCTTGGGGGAACCTGCAAGATGTTGTGCATATGGGCTTCTGGGATTATTTGGCACTGTCCGGGGATCTTGCAATTGACAGGCTCTGGTTATTTCCCCAGCCAGCTTTGCCACACACTATCTCCTATCTTATCACTAGCTGAATGTATGACCAGATAAGTAATGAAGCTCTTTCTCTGGGCCTTGTACCATCATCTTCATTTATGAGACACATGAGTTGATGTGATCTTGAAACTTCTCCATTGTTCAACCTACCATTCCCTAGTCTCATAGCTATAGCTATGGGCTAATGCATTCTTAAAGTCTGACCGGAGTCACTATTAACAACAAATAGATTTCCTGAAAAAAGTTTATTTCCTTTGTAACATTATATGGCCAAGGCTAGCATGTCAGTGTTCTCTCTCTCTCTCTCTCTCTCTCTCTCTCTCTCTCTCTCTCTCTCTCTCTCTCTCTGTATTTGGGTAACTAGGTTGATGATGGCTCTTTCATCTTCAAATATAACTTCTAAAGTGCCCCAGGAATTGGCAGACAACTGATGGAAGGTGAAAAAGATGGAAGGTCATCTGTGTGAGGATTTTATGGGCCAAGCCTGGAAGATACACTCCTTTCACTTACATTTCACTGGTCAGGTCTTAGTCACATAGCCACTTTGAACTGTGAGCACACTGGAAAGTCAGATGTGGTCCCATACTCAGGAAGAGGAGATGAGTTTTGGAGAACATCTGGAAGGTGATGTTAGGTTAGTGTTGCCCCTGAGGCACTCACTGAGTAGTCCCTTTCTCTCCATTGTCCCTGTAGCTCATTCTCCTTGGGGAAAATATAGATGCCATGTGACGTTCTTAGGGGATATGTCAAGAACAACCTGTGACCCTCTACCTTGGGAACACTGAAGATCCTGCAGCCCTGTTGATGGCTGCTAAACCACAACTCTGCAGAACGTTGGAGCCCTACTGCCTACCTAGAGGGCTCTGTATATTGTGTCTCTCTTTCTCCTCCTAACTTACCTCACAGAAATAGAGTACAAGATATTGTTTGGAGACTGGGCATGGTGGTGAATGCCTATAATGCCAGTGCTTGGGAGGCTGAAAACAGGATAATCACTGCGAGTCTGATCTGTGTAGTGAGACCCTGTAGACCCTTTACTAAATACATAAAAAAGAAAACAAAAAGATATTGCTTGGTAAGTCCTGTGCTTTTAAAGGTTAAGAGCAAAGGGTTCTGGGGGTCAGGAAGGCCTGTGTTCAAGCCCTGGGTAGGCAACTTGGGCCCTTGAGTAAGTTACTTAACCTCTCAGCCTGAGTTTCCTTGTTTGTAAGATGAAGATAATAGTGTCTATGTTATGAGTGAGAAGGAATGTCTGGCATTTAGCATATAGTGTAATGTTACTGGTAGTAACAACTATTTGCAAACAAATATTAACCGGAACAAATCGTGTTTGGGGTTTGTTTTAGTCCACTGTGTGGGATTCAGGGTAGATTGGAAGGTCTGCAAGAATTATTTTTAGTTCTACAAATATTTTTTGATCTTCTATCAGGTGCCAGGTACGAAGGAGTTATAAATAAGCAAGCATGCCTTCTGCCTTCTAAGGTCAGGGAAGATAATGGACAGCTCTTGGCAAGACTTACCTCTTGGCTACACTTTCCTCAGTTGGGTTCACCCGCTGGTGCTTGGAGTAGGTGTTGGATAGGAATCTCGTGTGCTTGTCCTTAGATTTCAGATCCATAAAATAAGCTGCTTCCATGACATCTCCTCCTAGATGCTCAGTGGTGTATGAAATGGGACTCCTAGATCCCCTCCTCCTGAAACTTGATTTTTCCTTACTATCTTGCCTCTCTTGGACAAAGCCACCACCACCCTCCACACAGTTGTTCAGGCCAAGAACCCTGGAATTTTCACCATTTCATCATTTGTTTTCAACACTTGCATCCAGTTTATCATGCCTTCTGTTCTACCTCTAAATCGTGTATCAAACATCCCTTGCTATTATCCTTTGTAGAGCTGCTACATCCTTCCTGGAGGAGGGCAGTCGTCCCTGAATTGCTATTGCTGAATTCTTTGTTTCCCTGCAACAACTGGAGTGACACAAGATTTCACCCAGATCCTGCCTCCCAGATCCCTGGGCCTGTCTTCCCTGATCTCGTCCACTGTTCCTTTCCTGTACTTATTGATTCCAGCCACAATGGGCTTTTTGCTTCTTCCCACCTCTTGGAGCTCTTGCGACTAAAATTCCTCTTTCTTCAGAATTCCATATGACTGAATCCTCTTCAATCAGATTCCAATACAAAAGTGATTCTCTCTGAAAGGCCTTCCCTGACTTCTTCACGTCTTAAGTTCTAAATCAGAGCCTCCCTGACCCTCTTCCTATACCACATCCCATCCAGTAGCGTCATCTGTTTTATTTACTCATTAGTACTTACTGCTGTTTGAAATAACATTATCTGTTGGTTTGCCCTCTCCATACAATGTGAGCTTCCTGAAGTAAGAGATGCCTCTGCTAGCTTATTCCTGCCTCTCTCTCTCACGTAGTGGTAGTGACAACTGTAGTGGTGGGCATGGTGGTGGTGGTGGCACTGCTGGTGATGAAGGTGAGTGTGTTTGCAATGGAGGAGGTGGTCAAATGGTAATGAAGGTGGTGGTGGTGGTGATGCTGGTAAGGAATATGATTAGGGTAATGGTGGTAGTCACAGAACCAATGGTAGAGGTGAGAATGGTAGGAAAACTGCTAAGTAGCATTCTTCAGGTAGAGGGAACAGCATTTATAAACCTCTCAAGTGAATGATCCTGTACGTCTTATGCAGATTTTTGATCTTTTAGTCACTAAAAGAAAACAGCACTAACTACACCACTCATGACTACCTCTCTTTTCCTTGCCTTTGGCAATCAGTAAAAGACCTTTCTCACTCTGGGCCAGTGGTCTGTATTAATCCACATACATTTGCTCTCTTCACAGTTCCTTCTGCAATATCCTGCCAGAAAGATTCACTCGCTGACCTTGTGTTTCTCATGGATGGGTCCTTTGGGACCAGACAAGATTTAAAGAATCTTCAGGAGTTTCTGGACAACATTACTGCATCCTTGGATGTGAAGGACAGTTGTACGAGACTGGGACTGATGAGTTATAGTGACAGCTCAGATATTCTTTCTCTTCTGAAATCAAGCACAAGTCAATCTATATTCCAGCAGCAAATCAGGAAGCTTTCCCTCCAGGATGGGAAATCAAATGCTGGGGCTGCCATTGAGAAGATGAGGAAGGAAGTTTTCTCAGAAGTTAATGGTAGCAGAAGGGTGCAGGGGGTCCCTCAGATTGCAGTTCTGGTCACCCACAGACCCTCAGATGACGAGGTGCGGGAGGCTGCCCTGAACCTGCGGCTGGAGGGTGTGACTGTATTTGCTCTGAGCATCCATGGGGCTAACAATACTCAGCTAGATGAAATAGCGTCGTACCCTGCACAACAGAGAGTGTCCATACTGAATTCCTACTCAGACTTGGTATGGTATAGCCCCAAGTTCCTGAAAAAGATCAAGAATGAAGTATGGATGCAAGTTTCTACTCGTGCTGAACAAATGGACCTTGCTAAAACTGGTATGTTTAGAAAATTTAAAAAAATTTTTTTTTTATTGTATAGGTAATGGGAATGCCTACCATTGGGGCAGGAAAGAAGACTGAAAATACTTGGATAAGGAAATTTTGGACCTGTGGGATTGTTCTAAAACTGGGTTTTAGTGATAGCTGGGTAACTTCATAAACACAATTGAACAATATACTTACAATGATCAAAAAATTATATAGCATGTTAATCATGTCCCAATAGAATATGAATATATATATATATATGACAAAATCAATACCTCTCTTACCTTTTGATCTCTTTTCCCTCTTTCTACTCCTTCTACTCATACATACAAAAACCCGCACTCTTAAAAATGGTATCACACTGAGTAGAGCAGTGCTAGATAACAGCAGACACTTCTGTGGCAATGGGAATGTTCTCTGTCCAGACTGTCCAGTGAGGCCTCAAACTCCTCATATGTGGCTGTTGAATACTTGAGATTTGACTAATGTGATGAAGAAACTGAATTTTCAATGTAATTTAAATTTAATCTATTTAAAGAGTTCCATGTATCTAGTGTCTGTTGTATCGGACGATGCAATCGTGTACCAATGGGTAAATAATATTAGTTGCAGTCACTTTGGAAGTGACTAAAGAAGAAACCACATAAGAATGATTTGAAACTGGATAAGATTACTCTTACTTTTCACATGCCAGCCCAGAGATAGGCTGGCTGAGCTGTCGTGGTGTACTCCACTCTCATGGGCTCTGTCTCCTCTTAGCCCTTAAAAAATTATTATTATTATTATTATTATTATTATTTTCTGTTTCTGCCCTTTGTTCCCAGGATCATAGTCCAGGGTTACTGCTCTAAGGCATTGCATCCACATCGAGCAAGTAAAAGAAATGAAAGGGAAGGAACTGGAAACCTCCCCCTTCTTTCTTTAAAGATGCCCTAGAAGTCACACACGTTATTTTTGTTCATGTTCTCCTGCCAGTATGTCACCCATGTCACACAAGGGAAACTAGAATGGGAAGATGTAATCTTTTGTGGGGTAACCAAGCACCTAGGTAAAAACTTAGACTCAATCAGCATAGAAGAAAGAAAGGCTATTGGTGATAGCAGTATTATCGGCTCTGCTCACTTTTTTGTCAGCCTTATGTTGTGACTGTTTGTGTATTTCCTTAAATATTCTTTCGCAGGGCTTTTTAGGTTGGCAGCAATATTGAATGGGATGGATTTACCATCATTGTGCAGCATAAATTGTTGAGCACATAGATTATTGTCAGTGTGTTGCTCAATGTAAGAGTCTCATTTCTGTACCTTTCACCACATTTGTGATGATTTCCTTGCATTCTCATCTTTTTAATTATTTTTCATCACTCTATTGAACAATAGCCTAGTTATAAGATGCTTTTTAAATCTGCTCTAGTTTTACTTCACTCTTGTTTGTCTTTTTTTATGAGACAGGTTTAGCTATGTAATTCAGGCTGGTCTTGAACTTGTGAACTCATTAGGTATCCCAGAATAACCTTAAACTTAAGCCAATTATCCTGCCTCAGCCTCCCAAGTGCTGAGATTACAACTGTGCACCACCAGGCCCAGCTATGGAGCTCTTTTCAAAGGCATGTTCCAAGAGAGGATTGATGCGACTCTTAGCTTATGTGATTGTGACATATCTTCTTTCTCTCTTTATTTTATCTTAATGTAAAACACTTCCAAACAATTAAACCTGAGATTTGGAGGCTCTTATATGGAACAGAATGTTAAGCTTATGTGATATGAAGGACTAATTTTAAACTCAGACCTGTCAATGAAAGGCAGGGTTAAGGAAGCATCTTATGCCAGCTCTGAATAATTGGAATGTAAGTATTGTAAGACAGCAGCAAGAAATGAATCCCCAGCCACTTCTGGAGTAGTATATAGTTGAGGTTCTCAGTGTGGGAGGCACCTTGGTCTTGTATTGATTATTAGAGAATTGGAGGGCTGTAGGAGTGGTCTTCCTCAGGGAGTTTGCAATACGGAAGAAAACTATCATCATCACCATCACCATCATCATCATCATCATCATCATCATCATCATCATCATCATCATCATCATTGTCATCATCAAAATTCTAAGTGGGAAGTTACGGAACCAAGACTAGGGCAAGCACCATCCTTATCTTTCCTAAGGGCTTACTCTATTGCTTATTATTAATCCAGTTGTTCTGCAAAGATGTTACTTGACTTAGGTTGGGTGTCCCCCAGGTAGATGTCAGACATGGATTCACATGAATTTGAATTTAATATATGAGGACGTTTGCTTAGGAAACTGGCAGGGAAATGAAGAATTCAGACAAAGAAGCAAAGAAGGACAAGAAAAGTGCTATGTAAGAAGGATCCCTTCCACTGTGCCAGCACAGAGACTCTTCCCAAACAAGTCGTCCCGCCCAGGGAACAGCGTAGCTAGAGAATCTACATTCCAGCACATGGAGGAAAGTGAATTTCCAGACATTCCAGGCTCATATGACAGACAAAGAAAGTCCCAACAACCCAGGAACAACTCACCCATGGATGTAATGTTTGCCTTTGTGATAAAAGCAAAATGCTGGGTACCAGTGTGCCCAAAAATGATAGAAAGTTTGGGGGGCAACAGGCAAAGCACCAACCACATCTGCTGTAATGGGCCAGTCTCCCAAGGTGCATGTTAATAATTCAGGGCGCTGAGCCTGCCAAAAAACCTAATAATCTGTGAGAGTAGACAGAGCCTGGGCACTTGTATTTTAGTAAGCACCCTAACAAACCGAGACTAGCAATATTAAAAAAACCTTTGCCATAGCCCAGAGCATGGCAGCCAATATCAGAAGGATCAAAGCTCAGAGAAACAGTCACTATCTGACTTGTCATTGCTGTGGCCATTCTGTGTGACACATTGTAGGTGTTCAACAGATTAAACAGAACTTCATTATATCACAAGGACAGTTGCATCAACCAAACTCAAGAGACTGGTGTGAAGGAGAAAAGGATGTCAGTTTTCTTTGTAACAAGGAAGACTTTCAGTGTCTGAGCCTGGACATTGTTTCCCTGAGTAGAACATTCTCTCCCCTAGAAATGGCAAGTTAGAAATTGTCATTAAGACTGCCAGGGTTTATGGAATCAGAGCAAGAGAGCTACTGTAAGATTAAAATATCTAGTGGCTCCAAGATGTCTCTCTGTATTGTGTTTTGTTTTGTTTTCAGTACTGTGAATTGACCTTTGTACTGAGTTATGTCCCTAGCCCCTTTTTAAAAATTTGAGATGGGTTCTTAGCTAGGTTGCTAAGTTGCTCAGGCTGCGGTTGAACTAGGAATCCTGCCTCAAACTCTCAGGCATGTGCCACCATATCTCTATCTCTATTTTAAAATCAAATAAATAAATAAAATAAAATATATAGTTCTATAGTTCTATCTGTCTGTCTGTCTGTCTGTCTGTCTGTCTGTCTGTCTCTCTATTTATCTGGATACGTAAGATCTTAAGCCAAGAGACACATTCTTATTATTCAGTCCAAGTAAAATTTTGTAACCATGAAAATATCCTTTATCCGCTGTCTAGTATGGAACCAACCACAGAGAGCTATAAAACACTTGATATGTGCAGATGAATGGTTGATTTTTAATTTTAGTTAATTTTAAGTAGTTTAAATTTACATTATCACGGCAGCGTGCGACTAGTGACTAGTATACTAGACAGCATAGGTTTAGGGGGGACTGGGTGAGTTGGGTTGTCATAGTTACCTGTTGTGACCCACGTTTTTCTTCTGTCACTGCTGATAATCATTGCTTTTCTTCTGGTGCACGCTTGTTTCTTCTTGATTAGACTGCATCTCAATTCATTCTGCTTACTGTCAAGATTTTCAAACTTCAGCTCAACCTTTTCTTTGGCACATGATTGCTTATCTTCGTCCTAATACTCTATGTATTGATTTCATAGTTTAAGTCTCACAGTCGAACATTCCTACTATTTCTTACTTCATAAGAAACAATTGTTCAAACCTATATTACGATCAGAAGTCATAAATTGCCCAAAAGCTGACACAAAAGAAAATAATTCTTTTTTTAAAAAAATTGAGTCATGGTCTCGCTATGTAGTTCAAACTGGCCTTGAACTCACTATGTATCCCTGGTGGCCTCAAACTTGCTATGATCCTCCTGCCTTAGCCTACCAGAAGCCAGGCATGCATCACCATGCCTGGCCTCAAAAGAAAATAATTCTGAAATGACTAAATTGTCTTGCTTGTTAAAGATCAGCTCATATCCTCAACCAGATAATGACATATCTGGAATTTTTTTTGAAATTTTGAAGATATACTTTCTCCTACCCAGTTTCAGTGAATGGCTACATAGCAAACAAGTAGACTATAAAGAAAACGAAAGGGGGCCTGCCCCTTAGCTCAGTTTTTTAAGTGGCTGCTTCAACAAAGCAGTCAGGCTCAGGTGGCTGTGGTTCAATCCGCACAACTCAAGCCAGCCAAACCTGCCCTAAAGGCATTCAGAGAGATAAAAAAAGAAAAAGAAAAAAAGAAAAGAAAAGAAAATGAAAGTACTATTCTTATAGACTAAACCTAACAAAGGAAGGAATAGGGAGTGGTCTTTGATGTGCCAGACCTGTTGGGCTGAAGCAAAAAGCTAAGCAAAGTCTCCACACTCATGGAGCTCACATTCTGTGGTAAGAAACTGGCCAGACTTGTGAATTAATGTATAAGGTCATTCCAGAAAGTACTGTGAGGACAATGAACAGTGCAATAGAGTAGACAGCGACTTCCACCTAAAAAGGTGGAAGTCTTTTCCAACAATTTGTGCTTGATTTGACATATTTGTGATGAGAAAAGACTCTCATGGGAATATGTAGAGTTAAGAACATCCCAAGAAGAGAGGAAGGCAAGTATCATGGCTCTGGGGTATATCCAAAAGAAATAAAGAAGCTCAAGATGGTTAAAGCAGTGTGAGATGAAGACTTGTTGGAAAGAGGATCAGAGAGAAAGGCAGAAGTCAAGGGCAGTCTTTTTTTATTTTGAAATTCCAATGTAATGATAAAGCACTGATTTAGAAGAGTAATGTGGTTTTAGCTTTAATATATATTCAGTTGCTTAGGGATGGAGAATTTATTAGAGGAGAAGGAAAGAAGGTCATCAATCCCATACCCTTTCACAATAAATGAGAAGGCATAAACTGTCTAAGAAGGTAGGTGTCAATACTAGTAATACTATTTAATCTTAAGCCTGAAGGGTTGGAAATCTAATCCTTACTTTTTAATGAGCTGGCTGTGTAATCTTAGATAAATCACTGTCTCTTGCTATGTTTCAGTTTTCTCTGAAGATGACTGTAAATTTCACAGGAGAATGTGGGAGTGAAGATTGCCAAAGAAGTGTACAGGCTCTACGTAAATGGAGAGGCCCTGTTCCTTAGCACCTGCACAGCCTCATGGGCCTGCACAAACCTCCTTGAGAAGTTCTTTCCAGATTCTTTTTCATTAACAGGAAATTTATTTTCTACTTTCCATGCTTTTGCAGGCTGTGTGGATACAAAGGAAGCTGATATCTATTTCCTCATTGATGGCTCAAGCAGCATCCAGAAAACACAATTTGAGGAAATCAAAGAGTTCATGTCAGCGGTGATCGACATGTTTACCATTGGTCCAAACAAAGTCCGAGTTGGTGTTGTGCAGTATTCAAATAAGGTGGAAGTGGAATTTGCTCTCTCTCTCTATAATAATGCCATAGACTTAAAAAAGGCTGTTTTTAACATCAAGCAACTACAAGGTGGCACCCTGACTGGCAAAGCCCTGAATTTCACTCTGCCACTCATAAAGGAAGGAAAGAAGGACCGGACAAGCAAGGTTCTCTGCTTCCTCATTGTGCTGACTGACGGGAAGTCCCAGGACCCTGTCCTGGAGCCTGCAGCAAGGCTAAAGGCTGAACAAGTTATCATTCATGCAATTGGTATTGGAGAGGCTAACAAGACACAGCTGCTACAAATAGCTGGGAAAGAAGACAGGGTTACCTTTGGGCAGAATTTTGACTCCTTAAAAAGTATAAGAAATGATGTGGTTCACAGCATCTGCACTGAAAAAGGTAAGCGGCAACAAGAAGAAAGCTTTCATTCTCCCTGTTTCACTGATGTTTTCATGTAGAAAAATGGCCTGGGTGAGAGACCAAGTGTGATGTGACATGCCGTCTAGCAACAGTTTGCTAATCTCCTTTGTCACCATGTAGAGTGTCAGCTTCTCACTTGAAACCAGTCTCTAAGACTGGAGAAGCCCGCTGAGAAGAGCTATGCTGAGGCTGACTTGGAGCCTGGAAGTAGGAAGGGTACCAGGAATGCTGTGGCCCTAAAAAGAGCCCACTACCATGAAAAGTGGAAAAGGCGCTGCTCTACATACAAGTGTGTGTGTGTGTGTGTGTGTGTGTGTGTGTGTACCTTGAATAAGCTACGGTCATGCTGCATAGGTTTTTTTGTGTGTTGGCTTATTGTGAAGCATAGTAGAGATAAATGTGTGGAGGCCTCAGAGAAGGGTGAGTGCTATAGAAAAGCTATTGCTGGTGGTGTAAGTGTTCATTGATCAGAAGAGTAGAGAGTCCTTGCTTACTTGAACTTGTGAAAAAAGATAAATAAGAACATAAACAGTCTTAGCAATGGAATCTTAAGCCATACTTTTGTTCATTTTTGCTGTTATAGAGAATAATAGAATTAGTCTTTTAGAATTCTTAGGAAGAATTCAAGAGTAAAAATTTCTCCAGGAAAAATAGAAGGGTTTCAGGAAGCATAAAGTAGATTGTGCCTCTCATCCTTTCAAAGGAGAAGGCTCTGGGCTCATCTGAAGAGGGACAGCCTTGCTCTAACAGCAGAGTATCTGGGGGAAGACACAAACTGCGGACAAGAAAGTGAGTCATCAAAGAGTGGGTAGAGAGCAGGGACCCTGCTGAGCCTACCTGAGCCCAAAGGACTAGAAATTACCAGTCTCAGAGCAGGTTCAGGTAGAATGAGCCACATTGTGTCAACTGGTGCCAGTGAAGCTGCTCTACTAAAATGACCCCAAACTGTATACTGTACAGTATCATTTCTCTCCTACAGGATGTCCAGAGTGAATAGTTCAGGTCCATGGAGAGGCCATTACATTTTCTTTAGGATGCTTTCATTGCTAGTCAAAGTTGACACTCCAGTTCTCATCACCACCCAGTCATGGAAAGTGAGAAAGAATCCACTTCCTATGATTAGCTGTTCCAATGAGAAGACTCAAAATGGGGCAGAATCACTGTTGACCAAATCTTTTGGCTCAAACTTAGACACAGGCCTATGTTTTGTTTTAAGGAAGACTGGGAAATAAAGTATTTAGGTCACCATTTGCCTAGCTGAAATGTGATGAGGATAAAACAATGAGAAAGCATAGCAGGGGACAAGAGGCAGTCTCCAGCACCAGTACACATAAGGGGGTAGGTCATGAGAGTTCCAAGCCACATGTAAAAGTCTTTACCTTTACCCACGTCACATATGGAGCACCTTCCACTCTTCTCCAAGGTGGGGCTTTGCCAGTGCCACACACACTTAGGGTTTCAGGATGACTTCAAGGCATTTTAAAAAAGTCTTTGAGATATTGTCATGCTAAATTGTACAGGCTGGATTTGAACTGGCAATTGTCCTGCCTCAGCCTCCCAAAGAGTTTGGATTACAAGTGTGTACCATCATGCCCTGATTTGGGTCTCCTTGTCCATTCTCATGGTGTACATGAGTCACTCAGTTAATTATATTTCCATTTTTCCATATATGGCTGATTCTAGGTGTTTATTTTCAAGTACTATGGGATAGAATCCAGCAGAATTGAGAAACAGGCTAGGAATAGGGTGGCAGAGATTACAGCTGGACAGATACCAAGAAAAAGTGACAAACTAAGGAATTACGTGCTGAAGACAATATACTATATATATGTTATATGTATATGGCCTATATATATGTGTATATATATATATATATATATATATATATTCGTTTCCAATCAGTAGGCTACCTGGAGTTTCTGTATAAAGGAAGTGTCCATAATGAATAGATATGTGCCCACTGAAGCATTTATTATCCCTGGCAAAAACTTTTCACTCCAATGTTTAATATGGACTTACAGTGTTCATCTAATCACTTACAATTATCCTATAAAATAATGCTATTTAAAGAAGAATTGAAGTTGTGTTTTTCAAGAACATATAAACCCTGAATATTCATCTTGTAAATGCTGAGAGTTGATTATTTGGGCTCTGATTTTTTTTTAAATTAGATCATCACTCCATCTTTAATAATAACCCGAGGGCTACAATTTTAATAGGGAAAAATGTTCAAATGGAAAGAAAACTAGGGAGGGGACTGGGGAAAGGAAGAAAGGGGAAAAAATGAGAAAATAAAAAAAGTGGAAACAAAGCTTTTGTAAATAAGGAGGGAAAGAGGTAAACAGAGGAGAACAAAATGGAAAAAATGAAACCACATGATTTATCAGGTACAAATTCTCTATGATGAATTGATCATTCTGTATATCTAAAATGTACCAATAAACTTAATTTTAAAAAGAATTACAAATAAGAATAAATGAGTTACAGATAAACAAATAATGTATGCATGAATGAGTACACACTTTGGAGGTTGCATTTCTTTTTTTAAATCCTCAGATGGTCTTCAGTGAATTTCTGACCTATGTTCTTGTCATCAGGCTTCTACTAAAGGTGCAAATAAAATTTTCACAAAAATCCTAGTTGCTTAATTTTCAATATTATTCTCATTAATGTATCTATTGCTGCCTTATTTCCAAAACATATTCTGAGAACTATGCCAATTTTTTTTTATAATATGCAGGATGTGAAGACATGAAGGCTGACATCATGTTTCTGGTGGATAGTTCTGGAAGTATAGGACCTGCGAATTTTGAGATAATGAAAACCTTCATGAAAGACTTGTTGACTAAGATTGAAATTGGTGCAAACCAAACCCAGATTGGTGTGGTTCAGTTCAGTAGTTATAATAAGGAAGAGTTCCAGCTTAACCAATACTTTACAACAAAAGAGATTTCTGATGCGATTGACAGAATGTCTCCCATCGATAGCACCACTTTGACAGGAAGTGCATTAACTTTTATAAGTCAATATTTTACCCACCCCAAGGGGGCCCGTCCCCAGGTCAGAAAGTTCCTCATCCTCATCACAGACGGTGAAGCGCAAGATGATGTGAGGGTTCCTGCAATTGCTCTTCGGGATAGTGGGGTGATCATCTTCTCTGTGGGGGTGTTTGGCGCCAACAGGACTCAGCTGGAAGAGATCAGTGGAGGTGGAAGCCTCGTTTTCCATGTTGAGAACTTTGACCTCCTGAAAGCAATAGAAAATGAACTCATCTTTCGAGTGTGTGCTCTGCATGGTAAGTGACCCTGATATCTTTCAGAATTCACCGTTTAATCTGTTGAATTTGTAGTGGATGGTGAGTGTTATTTCTGGGCTTGGCTCCTGCCTGGACTTTGGTGTTAAGTTTTGCTCTTACTTACACTAGAGTGAAACACTCTTGACTTTCAGGGATATTCCAGGTTAGCAATTTGGCACTAAATAATTTTGCTTTTGGTGACTTCAAATATATTTCAAAAAGATCTCAGCATTTTACACAAAACTTCCAACTCTTTAATACTCGTGTACCTGGATTTTCTAGTACTGATTTTTTAATTTTAAAAATTAAAAAAAAATTAGAAATCCAAGTGATTTCTTAGAATTGCTTCTTGGCTAAGAAACTATTAAGCAGTAAGTAGTTAGAAACACAAATTCATCTTTCTTTTAGTTAGATTCAGGTCAGTATCCTAAGTGACCTTGATCTACTAATTTTTTAAAAATTATTTCTTTATTTCTTTATTTGGTATAGGGTCTCAGCTATGCAGCTTGGACTCATAGTGATCCTCCTGTCTCAGCTTCTCCAGTTCTGGGATTACAGGAGTACATGTCCACACCTGGTTTTGGGGGCTGGCACAGTGCACCTGGAACTGTGGCCGGCATGGTATGCTGTAACAAAGATTAAATCCAGGCCTTGTGCTTGGCAGGCAGGTGCTTAAACCACTGAGTTATCTCCCCAGGCTTTTTTTTTTTTTTTTTTTTAAGATAAATGTTAACTTTCACTGTTCCTCATTCTTTTTAGCCCTATTTTATATTTGTTGGCTCGTGTGCTACCCTTTTGGAAATTTTAAATTTGTGATGAATTTTTGATTGTTTTGGGGGGTTGATCATTTTTATGTCACAAATAGCAGTGCTTTTCAAATTGTGTTGGAACAGTCTTCAGTTCAAGCCTATCACTTTCAATATCTCTTGAATGACATCTTGCTATAAGCCCACGCAAAGACGAAAACACCTGTGCTTTTAGTCTACTGTGTCCTATTATGTTTTGGATAGAGCTAAGAGAACAAATGAAAGCATTAGTAAATTTAGTGTGTGTTGTTCACCTGGCAGCATAAAGACATCTGTTGGATTTAATTCTTCAAAATTATGTGTATGGCATTTTCAGAAAATTAACAAAATTTCCTTGTAAATTCTGAGTTTTAGGTGAGTTCTAAGACTTCTTGGCAACAGCTTATTTGGAATTTTTTTCTGCCTCTAAAATTAGCAGTGATTACAAAATTCTTGGTAATGTTGAGAAGTACACCCAAAAGCCTCAGCTTGGACTTGGAAATCTACAGACTTCTTCCTGGAATTTTGGTTTTCATTTCATAGACGTAATGCCTGTGGAGGCTCTGTCTGAAGCATGAGGGGAAATCTCTGCTGACTCGTTCATTAGATGGATCTATAGCTATCAGTCGTGGCTAGTTCCTACCCCTCTGTGATCACTGCTCCAAGTTTTTACGGTCATAGCGTAAGCTATGCTCTGTGTCTGGGACTTGAGAATTTGAGATTTAATTGCTGGGTATAAAGACTGGAACTAACTAACATTGACAGGTGGAAAGTGTAGAAAATGAAGCTTTTGGAGGCATACACTCAAGCTGTTTAAGGAAGAAAACAGGAGGGTCAGAATCTCTCTTTTTTTTTCATATTTTAGGGGAGGCTCTACAGGGTGTTCAGGGTCTCACTACTAGATCGGACTCAGTGATCTGCCTGCTTACAGCCTCCCAAGATCTGGGATTACAGGTGCACACCACCATGCCCAGTCTCAATTGCTGTCTCAGTGCCCCCTGGGGGCGGGGCCTGCATAGCAGGCTCAGGGATCGAACCCCTAGCCCCCGAGACTGCTTGCAGGCGTTTTAATCCACTGAGCTAATTGGTTGGCCCTTGAATCTCTCATTTTGAAGTCCCACTGCCAGAGTGGTTTCTTGGCTTCTAGTGTAGAATAGAGTTTGACACTAGGGAAGCAGAGATGGGCTGTCTGATCTCCCCCCACTTGAAGACATTCCTTTAATAAGTTCTAACTCTCCGTGGAAGGAGCACAACAGTGTGGAGAGGCAGATGCTCATGGGAAGGTTTCCCTACCAGAGGCTCAGAAGATAGCTAGAGCCCAAGGGAGCTGAATGAAAACACCCACTTACACAATGAGCTCCTAAACTCTTTAAAAGCCCAGGTGTTCAAATATCAGTATGTTGCACCCTGCTGGTGACACTGAACTAGATTCTGACATTGCCTTGCAGTTGAAAGCCTGCTTATCAAAAGTCCTTAGCTCTCCTAGTGAGATGAAGCAAAGGACAGTGATGTTGTGTAAGCATCACCGATTGTGATGTTACACAGATGAGGACATCAGTGCCCTTGGAGTCATGGTCTGGGCACGCCGCGTTTCTCTGCGCCTCCTCAAAGGACTAAAGGATGGGGGCTTTCAGGCACGGGATAGGTTCCTGGCAAAGGTCAGATTGCTTCCTTGTCAGTATTCTGTGCAGGATGCCCTGCCTAGTGTTCGTAATTTCCTCTTTGCTCTTTTTCAGATTGTAAAAGGATTGAACAGTTAGACATTGTGTTTGTGCTGGACCACTCTGGCAGCATCAATGTACAACAGCAAGAAAGCATGGTCAACCTGACGGTCCATTTGGTGAAGAAAGCAGATGTTGGCAGAGACCGAGTTCAGTTTGGAGCTCTCAAATATTCAGACGATCCTGAGATTCTTTTCTACCTCAACACATACTCTACCAGTTCGGAAATCACTGAGAATCTGAGGAGACGCAGGGCTACTGCAGGGAATACCTACACTGCCAAAGCTCTCAAACACTCAAACATCCTGTTCAGAGAGGAACACGGCAGTCGCATCAAACAAAACGTGAAGCAGATGTTGGTCATCATCACAGATGGGGAATCCCATGATCGGAGTGAGCTCAGCAGCACGGCACAGCAGTTAAGAGACAAAGGCATCACCGTCTTGGCAGTGGGTGTAGGAAAAGCCAACCAAGAAGAACTGGAGATGATGGCAGGACATAGAAACAATACTATCCATGTGGACAATTTTGACAAACTGAAAGATATTTATCTGCCTCTACAAGAAAGAATATGTACAGATGCACCAGCAGGTAATTTTTTTTTTTTAAATTTCCATGGAGGGTAGAGTTTAAATGAAACCGTAAATCTTGACTTCCTGTTACCTGGGTGTTATGGGCTTAATCTTTCTTTACTCAGGAAACCAGTTTTCTTATCTAAAAGAAATTAGGTTAACTGAGGAAGATGTCTAAGTTCTCCTCCTACCACCTTAAGCATTGAAGAGATGATACGAGAAAGACTCAGACACAGTCTTCGTCCTGAATGACAGCCTGTTGCCTTGTGCTGTCCACAGGAAGCTCTTCTTAGGGTCACAGTCATCTCCTCTAACCACTACTCACTCTGCTCTGTTTGCACCCTGATCTCAAAGCAGCCACCAGGCCTCAAGTGGAGAGTTTCATGGTTGAAACACAGACTTTTTTTTTTTTGTGGAACCAGGGATTGAATTCAGGGCCTTGCGCTTGCCAGGGAAGCGCTTATTCCACTGAGCCATCTCCTTGGCCCCAGACATTTGTTTTTAAAATCCAGTGCTACATTAAAGGATAAAAGGGGTCTAGCAGTTCAGACACCAGCTCCTCTCTGTAGTAATTTTGTGTTCTTTGGTAAGTTAGCTAACTGATTTACATTTCTATATCTAGAAAATTAGCCTAATTCCTCATAAGGTGAGTCTATGTATTAACTGTATTACTATATTCTAAAAGCATTTTGGCAATACACAATGCATATGCAATGGGAAACATTGATAATAATAGGAGTACTAAGCTTCACAGTAGCATCATTGGGTGGATGTTCCAATCTGAGTATGAAGAGACTTCCAGGCTACAAAGTTAATTACCTTTTATGATATGTCCAATCTATTCAAACTTCCTATTTTTTCTGAGTGGGTTTCAGTGATGATTCTAATTAATCATGCAAATAATTACAATTTGAAAATCCTCCATTATCATTCTCTTCCTGTTATTTTTCCTTCTCTTTGAGGGTCAATCAGGGATACTCTCTTCTGGGTGTTGGCTTATGTCAATTTGCTACTAATGTAAAGCAGTTTAAGTATTTAGCAAAGCAATTTAAAAATTAAAGGAAAAGTTCAGACTGACTCAGAAGAATACTAATTTATTCTTTTTTCCTGTTGCAGCCTGTGACCTTCAGCAAGCCGACGTGGTTTTCCTTTGTGATGGCTCTGACTTGGTATCCGATTCAGAGTTTGTTGTCATGAAGACTTTCTTGTCAGATTTAATTGATAATTTAAAAATTCAGCCTCAAATGCAAATTGGGATGGCTCAATATGGGAGCCGCTACCAGGAAATGATAGAGCTGAAAAATACTTTGACTAAAACCCAATGGAAGTCAAAAATTCAAACTGTTGCCAAGACCAATGGGATTCCACAAATTCACTTAGGCCTTAAACATGTGCTCCATATGTTTGATCCATCCACTGGTGGGAGAAAAAATGCTGGTGTTCCTCAAATTTTGGTGGTTGTCATATCTGGGCATCCTGCCTATAATGTGATAGATGCAGTAAAAGCCCTAAAAGCCCATGGAATTTGTATCATGGTTGTGGGCATTGGTGATGTTAATAAAGAACAACTTCTTCCAATATCTGGCAATTCTGAAAAAATAATCACTTTGCAAGACTTTAATAGACTAAAGAACGTGGACGTGAAAAAAAGGATGGTTCGTGAAATCTGCCAGAGCTGTGCGAAAACCAGTAAGTGCTCTTTGTTTTGTTTTATTCACTTGCAACTTCCTGTTTCTCTCAAGGTGTCCCAGGGACCAGCTCCTGCAGAACATGCACCTAGAAGCATGTTCAGTGAGAAGAGACCTCTCTTCTTCCAATAAATTTGGGATCAGCCACCTCCCTCAAAGACAAGTTGAGAGTACAGGGGCCAGAGGGGCCTGGACTGTGTCCTCTGGGTACTCTTGTCCCCTCTGTGATCCAGTGTTTGTGTCCCATTTAGTGCCTACATCTCAGTTTCTTGAAGTGCTAGGACAATATTAGGTATTCAGGTAAAAGTAAAGAAAATGAACATGTAATTTTAAATTTTAAAAACCATCTCTAAGTGACCTGTATATGGGTACATGTAAGTGTGTGCTCTTTCCTTTAATGATGATACTCATATCATCATAATGTATGGATGATATTAAATTGTTCTTGGAGAATTTTGACTTCCAAAAGCATAAATATAAACGGTATTCAAGACCGGGTCCTCCTGTGGGTGAATCAAGTGAGCTGGGTGTGAGGACAGTGAGGTCACAGTTTAGATCCAGCTGACAGGAGCCATGGGGCACTCAGGTTCTGTCCTTGTGGTCTGGGATTTGGGAGGACAGCATGTCAAGAAATTGTGAGCATTTTGTAAAATTGGCACGACACAGAAGTCTTCAGAGTGCTTCTGTTTCTGCAGTTGTTCCAGTGGAAGCTTGCCTGTCACAAAATATATCAGTCTTGCAACTGCTCTAGAGCTCTTCTGTCCCATTTGGGTGCCCAAGCGGAGACAATTGACAGAATAGAGCCCTCGGCCTGGGGGCAAAAGCCAGAGTTCTAATTCTGGAGCAGCAGCAGCAGCAGCACAGTTTCTGAGACTAGTTGCTCCCTCATCTGGAAAGTAAACAAGTGTGTCCAGACATCAAAAGTGTCCAGACAGCAACTCGTACGTGCGGTGCACCCTGGTCAGCGCTGACAGCTTGCTCACTTCATCATCAGCGCTAACAAACTGGAGATCATACATGTTGAGAACAGAGCTTTCAGGCTTCTTTTTAAGAACACTGGCCCCTGTTTCCCACCTGGCTATTCTCTGGTGCAGTTGAGCATCAGATGGAGTGAGCCCTTGTTCTCAGGCTTGACTCGTCTACATCATGCATTCCGCTCCATGCCAATTTGCATTTGTGACCTCTGAAAAGTAAGTGATCTTCAGAACAGTCCAGAACTTTCTATGTTATGATGATACGAATCAGAATAGGTCGTCAGTAAAAGAAGAAAATACGTCCACAGAAATAGCCCTGAGAATAAGACTAAACTATGTTTTGAACTTCAGATTGTTCCTGGAACTTGTAAGAGTTGAAAGGGGACAGGAATCAGCTGTGCTATATGTTGCCAGAGCAGCTTCTTTTTTGAACACTTTTGGGTACAGGAGACCCTCTACACTCAGCTCTGGGGATAACAGCTCTCCTTTTCCCTGCCCTTCCTGCTTGCCTTTCCTTATGCCTGTTTGCTTATTAAACTTGCCTTGTTTCCCTTGGTTTCCAGGTTGCTTTGTGGATGTAGTGGTCGGGTTTGACATTTCCACTCACCTTCAAGGGCAGCCGTTGTTCCAGGGCCACCCCCGCTTGGAATCGTACCTCCCACGCATCTTACAGGCTATCACTTCCATCAGGGGAGTGAGCTGCAGGGCAGGTGCAGAGACGCAGGTGAGCCTGGCCTTTAAGGTGAACAGTGATGGAGAGTTCCCTGCCAAGTTCCAAATCTACCAGAAAACAGTGTTGGACAGTTTGCTGCAGGTCACCGTCAGTGGCCCAGCTCATCTGAATGCACAGTTCTTGCAGTCACTGTGGGATACATTTGAGGATAGATCTGCAACCCGGGGACAGGTATCCTTGTCATTTTTCTCTCCCACTCCTTATTCTTTAATTTGGGACTCCTTACCCAGTTACAGCTCTGGACTTTACATCATCCCTTGTTTTGTTTTGGTTTTTTTTTCATCCTCTTTCTCTAGGTGCTGTTGATCTTTTCAGATGGTCTCCAGGGTGAAAGTATCACAATGCTTGAAAATCAATCGGACAGGCTGAGGGAAGCAGGTAAGGCACTGAATATATAAACAGCAAAGCATGGACTATGTTGAACAAGCCTGCAGCCTTATCTAGGTGTTCTAGGTCTTGGGATCCTTTGGTCACTTACAGGGGATGTTGTTGCTGACTTGCCCAGAGCCCCTTGTTCTGTCTCCATAGATGGCCCCCCAAATGCTACAAGTGCTTATACCTCTGCTTTTCTACCTGAAATGAATGTGAACATGCTTGCAGTAAGGGTGGGATTATACTATGTCCCCTCTTTGTGCATGGGACAATCAGTGATATACAAAAACCCAGCACCCACATCTTAGGTAGGTCAACTCTGGTATAATTTACCCTCCAGATTCCTTCATCAATCAAGCTGGGCCTAAGATTTCCTGAGGTACTTCCCACTCACAACTTCCCTTGACCCTTGATCCTTTTTTAAATCTTAAGAAAATATACATGCCAAAAATTCTCAAATTTTGTTTTGAGGGAGTCTGACTATCAATGCTGACTCATAATCATCCATGTCAAAGATAGTAACATTGTTTTGGAAAGGCACTTTGCACTCTACACCTTGTGTCCACATTGTAACTTGGGACTGAGCTGGGAGCTACGTGTAGAGGCTGACAGGAGTACATGATGCAGGCAGACTGCGCTGAGTGTCAGACAGCTCGCAGTTAGGTGCTGCCTTGGCAGAGGCCCAGGCTGGCTTCTGGGACTTGGCTTCCACAGGAGCTATACTGAGAGGCCACAAAAATTCCTGCTTTATCTCTTGGTTGTGTCATCTTCTCTACATTAATGCTTTCCCACTATTCTTGGGATACACATCAGCTTCATTAATGTGGCCCATGAGGCTCTGCTCATTCCAGCCCTTGCTCCCTGACCTCACTCCTCACACTTAGTGTTCCAAGCATACGACTTCCCCTTTCCTTCTCCAAGGTGTTTTGAAGCCTTATTCCTCCAGGCCTCCAGATCTGCTCTACTTTTTTGAGGGATCTCCATACTCATTTGCACAATGGTTGTACTAAATTATATTCTCACCAACAATGTAGAAGGATTTCTTTTTCCCTGAAGCTAGGGCCAGCCTTTGTTATTATTTGATTTCTTGATGATAGCCATTCTTTCTGGTGGAGGATGGATTCTCAGTCTTATTTTAACTTGCATTTCTTGTTGAGCATTTCTTAATGTATTTATCGGCCATTAGCCCTTCTGTGAAGTGTATATGCATGTCATTTGCCCATTTTCTAATTAATTATTTTATTTTGGGGATCTGATTTCATTTTTTTGAGTTTTTATTCTAGATATTCATCCTCTGTCTGGGGATCAGCTGGTAAAACTTCTCTCCTATATCTGTAGGTTGTATTTTCACTCTGTTAGTTGTTTCTTTTGCTGTTTAGAAGTTTTCAAATTTGACATAATCCTATTTATCTTTGTTGCTATTTCCTGTGTGACCAGGGTTCTTTCAGGAATTCCTTGCATACATCTATGACTTCAGGAATTTTACTTGTTTTATCTTTCAGCAGATTCAGTGTTTCTGTCTTAACATTTAGTTCTTTGATTCATTTTGATTTTAGTTTACTGTTTAGTGAGAGATATGGATCTAGACTCAGTCTTCTACATATGAATAACCAGTTTTCCTAGCACTACTTACTAAAAGTTATCTTTGTTCCAGTGTATGCTTTTTGCCACTTTGTCAAAGATCAAACGTTTGAATGTGCTTTGGATTGTTTTTACATCCTCTGTTCTGTTCCACTGCCTCACGTATCTGTTTTTGTGTCAGTACCACAGTGTTTTTATCATTGTAGCTTTATAATGTAATTTCAAGTTGGAAATATTGATACCTCCCACTTTTCTCTTGTTCCCCAGGCTTCCTTTTGCTATTTTGGGTGTGGCTCCACATGAATTTTAGGGTTTTTTCCATCAAGAGAGGTAGGATTAACTTATACACAGGAAACTCTCCCTGGAGATGAACACTGGCAGCAACTTCCTAAAAGTTACTTCCAGAATAGTAAGAGTTGTATCAAAATTGGTGGTGAGATGTTGAGCATAGTTTTCCACTAGTGTTTTTCAACAGATTTGTAAATAATTACCCTTGAAAACTTTTCTCAAGGGATATCATGCTACAAACAGAGGCCAGAGCTTGATGCATATTCACAAATCTGGTAAATCTGCTTTCAGTTTGCCATATTTTGGGAGTCATGCATTTCGTTATGTTTATTTTTCTCCATTTCTGATTCTCTGAATAATGTTCACCAAGTGGAACTTCTTTTCCTTATTCAAACCCTTGAGTTTTATACTGTTATTTTTATTAAATAGGACTTGATGCTCTGCTGGTGGTAGCTCTCAACACCACCGCTCATGAGGAATTTTCCAGCTTTGAGTTTGGAAAAGGATTTGATTATAGAACTCACTTGACGATCGGAATGACAGAATTAGGCAGCATGCTGTCAAAGTACCTGGTGAGGCTTTTAATTTGTTATTATTTATGTATTTATGTATTTTTTATGTATTAAATACAGGGTGTACAGGCTCTCACTACACAAATCGGACTTGTAGTGATCCTTCCTGTTTTTCAGCCTCCCAGGCACTGGGATTATAGGAATGCGCCACCACACCCAGTCTCAATCACCATATCAGTGTGCCCTCCCTACGGGGAGGCTGGCACCATGGACTGGGGATCAAACCCCCGGCCCCTGCATCTGCCTAAGTAGTATTTTATGTGTTTGGCTCAGGCTGACAGTGATGCTCCCGTTTTCAGCCTCCCCAGTGCTGGGATTGTAGTCGTACTCCACCACACCTGGTCTCAGTGACTGGCTCAGCGCACACAGGGGTGGGCCAGAGCAGCATGTGGTGCCAGGGATCAAACCCTGATCTCTGTACTTGTCTAAGCTGATCTTTAATCCACTGAACTATCTCGCAGGCCCTCATGGTGATGTTGTTTAAAAACCCAGTTATTCCGAAAGCCATACGACTAAATTGGATGCTTAGTATTTACAAACACTGCCTTTGTGTGTGCTGCTGAATTGAATGCATGGTCACAGTATATGAGAATTGTATATAAGAACAGAATGCAACATTTTTGGAGTTGTTTGCATATTCCTTAATTCTTCGTCATCTCACTACATGACTGCATAAGGAACAAAGGACAAGCCAGTCCCTAGTTTAATTAGAAGTTGCCACCAGTTTATGCTCCAGAAATTTCTGCTTTAGGATATTGCTAACCAGGAGCAATAAGTGTCAGGCAAACCGGGCATGTGGCCATTTATGTGCTTGGTGCCCTTTCTATGAATAAAGGCCATTTATTTTGGAGCGGGGATCTACTGCTTTCTCTGCTGTGTTAAGTCACTAAGCACCTCATCTTCCTTATAGTTTCTTATCCAAAACAAAAGATGAGCTTGTGGGTGGTGGATTATGATTTCATGCACCTACAATACTAAAATGACAATGGAATACCCATCTCTGACAAAACTAAACAAAAAAGCTGATACAAATGTAGGACCATTTTGTATCTGTATATTGAAAATAGTTAGGAGAGATACACAGCTATTTTCTCTTAATTCAATGAATTGAAAGATTTGTACTAATAGTGTTTGTGGACAGGATAACATGTCTGCATCTTGTACTATGAATAACCACTCAGAACACAACAATATGCAATGTATTAATTATTGAAACTGTCCTACTAATCGGTTTTGAAACTGTCTCATTGCTATTTGTTTCTCAATAAAATTAATAAAAAATGGATATGATTCTCATGTAATAAACTCTCTCACAGTTGTTGCTCACTCTGCTTTGTTCTTTTCAGGGAAATATAGCAGAGAGGACTTGTTGCTGTACATTTTGCAAATGCCAAGGGGACGTGGGACCTCACGGAACTCGAGGATTGCAAGGCTTCAAGGTGCTATTCTGCTGTGGTACTCTTGTCTGTTCCATGCCTTGTGCCGGGGTGGGCGGAGCTGAGACTGAGTGGTCGAACTTGCAGTCTTCATTCTATACTAACATAACTGCTCTGGGCATTTCACATGCCTTTTGTGGCATAGGAGACCACTGAAAAGTGTGCATTTTTGATACTGATATTAATAATAATGCTGTTTTCTCTTATGTATCCTTCTTGGTTTTGCAATTTATATTTTTGCATTTGGTATAGACAGTTTGAAAGGTGTTAGTAATAGTGGAAAGGGTTATGCTTCAGCAGCAATGAAATGAGATTGAACTACAGAAAATCATAGTATTACATAGTGTTTAAAATAACAGATTTTGGGGCTGGGGAGATGGCTCAGTGGAATAAATGCTTCCTTGACAAGCACAAGGTCCTGAGTTCAGTCCCCGGTTCCACAAAAAAATAAAAAAATAAAAAAATAAATAAATAAAATAACAAATTTTGCTGGGGAGATAGTTCAATGGTTAAGTGCCTGCTTGACAAGCAAAAGGTCCTGAGTTCAATTCCTGGTTCCAAAAAAAAAAAAAAAGACTAAAGTTACAAATTTCAAAAGATCAATTATATGAAAATGGAATCAATAAATATATCATAAAATTTTTAATGAAATACTCCATTTCAATGCACAAGAGTTAATTATAGCAATTTACATATACATTCCACCAACACAGTAATTGACATAAAAAAGCAAAACACAGAATACATACGGATTCTATTTATAGAGAGCTTGAACATAGGTAAACTAAGCTGTAGTGTGTAGGAATGAATATTTAAGTAGTGAAGTTCTTTAAGGAAGTAAGAAAATATAAACTTCAGGAATCGAGTGAATAGTGATTGTGGGGAACACTTTGCCTGGGTTAATGTTCTAATTCTTCACCTGGGTGGTGGGGACACAGGTTTTACATATAACAAACAATTATGAAATTACTGAATAAAATTTACTTTATTATACTCTGTACTTTTATATTGCATTAATTTATTTACTTTGCCCATGGATTTTCCATATCCCAATTAAAAGGACTTTCTTTTCAAGAAGATAAACAGTGATGCTTATTCATGATTTCTGCATCATCTATTCTTGGTAAAGGAAAATTACATTGGCTTTTTCCTGTGTTGTGATATTTTGTTTAGTAAAATCTCCTGTGTTAAGTCCATGGTAGAATTATGCTTCAGGCGCATGGCCTCCCTGATACACTGAGCAGGCAGTTGGCATCTGTGTCGGAGGGTAGGAAGGTAAACCTCAAATAAAATTTTTGCCATAAAGCAAAATTAAACTTTGGTAGAGGGAAAAATTATGGTAATTTAAATATATACCATCATGTTGCTGTGCTTGTTCTTCCTTGAGCTCTTTAAAAAGGCAGAGGAAAATAAGATGATCTCTTTATAATTGTGACTGACTTTCCTCTAAGTTATAATAGTCACAGCTGTCTTTCTTGCAAACCCCTTGGCCTAGGAGTGGCCTTGTGGCTCTCACCTGCAAGGCAGGCTCCAAGGGCCAGCCTTTTTCTGGCATCTAAGGATTACCTTCTGCAGAGGGGCTTACGAGATGAGTGAAAGAACAAAAACCAGCTCCTGATGTTGTCAGTCTCTTCCTTAAGTAACAGCTATATTTCCAAAACTGCAAGCATGTTGAAGGGATGAAATTGTATAGAATGCCCCCAAACTTCATGAATGTGAATTGGCAGGGTACATCTAACACACACTTCTCTCTTTCTTTCCAGGGTTCTTCAGGTCAGAAAGGTGGCAGAGGACACAGGGGAGAAGAAGGAGAACCTGTAAGCTATGTGGCTCTCACTCCCCCACCCCCACCTCCTGATATCCATACTTTTGTGTAATCCCCTCCCCTTGAATGTACGAGGACCCACAACCTGTTCTAGCAATCAGCATATGACAGAG